AAGCAGAAAAAAAAAAAAAAAAAAAAAAAAAAAAAAAAAAAAAAAAAAAAAAAAAAAAAAAAAAAAAAACAGGGCTCGAAAGCTGCAAAGAGGAGTGGACATGGCCCTGTCTTTCAGGAGCACAGAAGGTCACAGAGGTCACTCTGAGGAATGACCCAGAAGTGGCAAAGTGAGGTGAGGGCGGAGAGAACCTGAGGTAAACAGCTGAGAGCCTTTGGAGCTCGGGGTGACTGTGTGCGCATGTGTGGAGGGTGACTGTGCGCATATGTGGAGGGAGACATGCGCACGAGCAGGAAGAATAAAGCTGGCACGAACTTCGGGTGGAATGAAGTAAGAGAGAAGGATGGGAAGGTAGTTTAGCTGATATTAGACTTTTCAGTCTACAGTAAGGGTTCCAGGCCGTACTGTGGAGGAAGTAGGGAGTCAGGAAAGATTTTGAAAGAGATGAACACAGTAGATTTCCATTCCTGCTCCATTTAAAACAAACAGTATTAAATGGCTGTCATTCTGTAAGAGACAGTCTATAAGAAGTTGTCGATGAAGATAGTCTAGAGGCATTTCTAGCTTCCAAAGAGACAATCTGTTCTTTCCAAGAGGCGTGTCTAGCTTCCAAAGAGACATTCTGTTCTTTCCAAATGGGAGACACCCTGAGCAGGTAACAACCACTTTGTTGGTCTCTGAGTTGGCTTACCTGTGGCTGACGTTGCTAAGGAGGAGTCTCTACTGACCTATGCAGCAAAGCCTGCTAGCCTTATCCTGCCTATCCTGGAGCAGGCAGCTCTATCGAGGTGCTCAGGAGGCCGGCTGGGATGAGGCAGAATCATCCTTGTCCCAAGCTCAGGCGGCTGGAAAGCTGATCTCTTCTAGAGGGATGAAGTGGGAAGCTGAGGTACCCGGCTGGCCGGCAGACAGCGGCCTCCCTCATGGGACTTCTCTTGTCCCTTAATGTTTAACCAGCTGAAGAGCCTTAGGGACTGGGAATATGCTGCGTTTCACAAGAGAAAACATGTCTTGTTTGGTGTTCACTGAAAACTTGATTCGTGGAAAACTGAAAACGGATAAAAATAAATAAACCGGTGCTTTGTGTGTGTATATGAATACAGCAAATCACACAAGGTTTCATTTGCTGCCAATGATTTAAGATTTTTAGAAGATCATCAAGTAAAGATATTTTTATTTCATGGACCGCAACAATATAGTTCTGAGTAAATGTTACGCTAAAGTCATTTGCTATCTGAAGCAACAACTTTAGGGTTCTTCCCTCACCCTTTGGGAAGGGTCTTTTTATGTAGCCCAGGCTGGCCTCAAACTCAAGATTTTCCTGCCTCTTCGGAGTGCTATGTTTTGAACTGTGTATCACCACATACCACAAAGCAGCTATATTATACTGTAACATTCAATTTGTCTGGGACCATCAGGGGGATGAGGCATTTCAGAAGAATAAAATAGTATCTAACTCAGTGGTTCTCTTAGGAACTGAGACACTGCTCAGTGGCAAAATTACAGTTACAAAGTAGCAACAAAAATAAATGTAGAGTTGGGGGTTCTTAAGAAACCCCCATGTCTGATGGTCACAGCCCATAAGTTGAGAACTTCTGGTCTAACTCATATTCACTGAGGGACTCAAGACGGTGGGAAACACTTCCGATGGAAGGTTTGTCCAGACTTCTTGGGTGCCCGTGCCTTACAAAACACGAGAGCAGTGACTGTCAGGTCCCAGTGGTCATGCTGACTCTGAGAACCATTGTGAAGACCAGTTATCCGATCATTCTGTACTCTGCCTTGCTCCCTGAGGCTGCCAAAGCGTACTGACCATTTCTTTACCTCTTCTGTCAGTGTAATTGTCCAGTTGTAGTGTTTTAATTCTTTGTTAGCCATTGGTTCTACCTGCATAGTTTTTGTTTTGTTTAATTATGTGTAATGTATGTGTTTATGACAGTGTGCAGGGTTGCCTGAGGAGGCTAGAAAGGGCATCGGATCCCCTGGGGCTGGAGTTAGAGGCAGTTGTGAACTGCCTGGATGTGAATTCTGGGAACCAAACTGGGGTTCTGTGGAAATCAGCGACAAGGGCTTTTGGCCACTGAGCCATCTTTCCAGTGTCTTCTGGTCCTTGTCTCACTGTCTCTTGTAGAGCAGCCTGAGGAAGCTCTGTACGCTGCGGAAGCTCGGTACGCTGCGGTACTCACGTCTCGTGTTGACGACAGGCGTCTGGACCTCAGAAAGGGTAGGCTTTGCTTATCCTTGCCTGGATTAGTCTCCCTCCCTTGTAATGTAAACTCAAAAGATTACACTTCAGTTTCTCTCTTTCATGCATTCTTGGACAAGTTAGCGATTGGGTCCCAAGGGAAAGAATTCTTCCAGGACACTGTGGGGTTACGAAATGAGATTGAAGAATATGTACCAACTCCCTTTCCTTTTAGGAGAAATAAACGCCAAAAAGTATCTTCCAGAAATAAAGTCGGTTCTAGAAACCAAAGGTCGCTGGTTAAGGCTATGTTGTTCAAGATAGTTAGCCTTAGAGAATCTGGATCCTTCTGGAAAACAGCCTCTGGGATCCCACGGCACCAGGTGCTGTCTAAACTACTCCTCTCAAGGCTCCCTTCACCAAAATACTTGAGATCAGAAGTATTTCTGTTGACATTTGTTTCGTTTCTGACATGTTTACATGAGACCCAATTCTGAAAGTGAATTTCATAAACATGTCATATATCCCTTAAAAGTATGACTTATAAGTAACATAATTTGTGTGTGTGAGGATGTTTGGTGTGTGTGTGTGTGTAGGCCAGAGGTCAACCTTGGGTGTTGTTCCTCAGGCGTTGCCTGCCATGGTTTTTGAGACACTGTCTCTCACCTGGACCTGGGGTTCACAGAACTGGCTGGTTGGCATCCAGCAAGCCCAGAGACCTGTACATCTCTGCCTCCCCAATCCTGGGATTACAAAGACATGCAACCATGCCCAGCTTTCTTTCTCCTTATCTTCTTTTTCCTTTTCCTTTTTCTTTAAAAAAAATGAATTCTGGGGACCAAACTCATGTCTTCATGCTTGCCAGATGAGCACTTTACCAACAGAGCCGTCTTCCCAGCTTTATGTGATATCTTTTTAAAAAAGGTTTTGTCATTTTGTTCTTATTGTTTGTTTTATTTTATGTCTGTGGGTGTTTTGCTCACTTGTCTTTCTGTGCACCACATACACTCTTGGTGCCTTCAGAGGTCAGATGAAAACGTTGGAGCCTCAACTGAATTTATGGGCAGTTGTGAGCTGTCATGTGGTTGCTGGGAATCGAACTTGCATCCTCTGTGAGAAGAGCAAGTGCTCTTAAGCGCTGAGTCATCTCTTTAGCCTCTCTTATGCAATGTTCAGATTAGAGGCATTCTATTTGTAATTCATGACCTAGGGTCCAACTGTGCCCCAAACTGGGTTTAGGAGCTTACCCTGGTACACAGATAAAGAAATGGAGGGGCTCATCAGGCTTACCCCTGCCCATCTGCACAAGCGTGAGCTGTTAGCCTGGAGCTTGGACAGAAACTGGGTCCTGCTCACAGCCCAGATCTGGTAAGACTCCCCTGCTAGACATAAACTTACAGTGGGAGCCACATCCTTATTGTGTGAATTTAGGTTAACCACAAACCAACCGAATGGCCTGTGTCTTACTGCACAAAGAACCAAGAAAAGGTCTATTTTCAAAAAAGAAAAAAAAATAGTGCTTTCTCAGCACAGAAGGAGGACCTTTCAAAATTTTTTGGGATAAGGGATGGAGAATTTCTTATTGGCACAAAATGAAGGATGTAAGCTGTGTAGCAGTTGGGCCACTGCTCTAGTGTGTGGTTGAAGGGTCAGGCGGCTGAAGTAGTGTTTGTTCTGTTATCTAATGATATCCCAGTTTCTAGAGATGTTTTAGAAAACCATCTTAAAAAACAACCTCAGCATCTTTCCCCACAAAATCAGAGCCATTTAAAGAGGAAAGCCACATGGGTTCAATGACTCATACCAATACACTAAGGAGATCTTAAAGGCTGAATTGAGGAAACGGTGGGCAGTAGAAGTAAGCCTTTTATCTTGGAGCTACAGTAAAAGCAGCACAAATAGTCCATAGGCTAGAGCAGCTGAATCAGACGTGGTAAACACCGAAGTCTGTGGTTTGAGCCACACAGCGATAAGCGATTCACTTTGTGTCCTTGATAATGAGCCCTTCCGGCTACCAAGATCAAGTCAGAGAATTGACACAGTGGGGTCATTGTTTCCTTTCTTGGGTCATTACCTGCCTCACAGGATGTGAGAACTGAAGGAGATATGTGTCACACACCCCTTCCTCCAAACATTGTTGGCTGCTACTACCAAGCGCGGTCTTCTCCGCTCCTGCGTTTTCCATACTCCTTCCCTTGTTCTGAGATATGACCAAGCACTGACAACAGGCCGGTGCACCTCCATTGACTCGACTGGTATTTACGGACCTCCCACTAAGTGCCAGGGGAGTCTCTTCCCTGGTGAAGGCTCACCACTGAGGAAGAAAAGGTCCCAGTTTATGCCCAAGTGTTCGTAGACCAAGACATTAATGAGTAGGGATTATAACTTTAAGTGCTACAAGGAAGGACAAAGGAAGATCAAGGAATGAAGGGCCATTGAGAGTTGGACGTTATTTATCACGGAAAGATCACAGAAAACTCTCTGTAGAAGGTGGCATGTTGACGGTCTTCCATGAGTTGAGGAATGGGCGCATGAAGGATCCAGCGAAAATATACAACAGAGGCAGAGGGAATGGCATGGGCAAAGCTTGAGGTGACAAACTCAGCAAGGTCTTAGGAACCCAAAATGCTCAAGACAGCTGGCTCTCACGGACTTTCTGCAGCCCCAGGGGCTGCTGGGGTTGATGGGAAGCTGTCAGAGGGTTTTGAGGGAGTTAATAAAAGGGCGAAGAGTGGTTAAGGCTCTGGGGGGTAACTGCCAGGTTTGAAGCATGCCTCTGCCATTGTTGGGCAGTGTGAGCACAAGCAAGTTAGATCACTGATCGTGAGTAGAAGTGTAATAGAAGGGTTGCCACGGTGACTGACCCGAGTGATCCCAATGGGAGGGGTAGCACTTGGATCCCATTGTGATTCCTGCCTCTCTCTGTTTTGCCATGTGGAGTGGTTTAAACAGTGCTTGGTATTAGGAAACACTCAGTGGCATTCGTGACCACTTGTGGCTGAGGTGAGAGATGATCGGAGCTTGGCATAAGGATTAGTGATGTGGTAGGGTAATACATGCAGAAAGCTGAAATAAAAGTTGATGAGCGACCCACTCTGGCTCTCACGGGCAGAGCTACTACGGTTGATGGAGCTCAGTGTCCATAGCTTTGTGGAAACTTCTTGGGGGTGGTTTCTATTTTATTCTGTTCTGGAAATGAATTCTTAGCTTCTTCCCCACCTAAAAAATATGTTATAGCGTGACTGTGAGGTTAAAGGAGACCCTATATGTTGGCCCACAATTTAGGCCTAGGACCTTCTAAGTTTTAATAGATGTTAGCGGTCCTTGCCACCATGATCACCAGGGCTGTGCACACATCTAGCAGTAATGATGTCCTTGCTACAACTCCACTGGGAAGAGATCTCAGCTGTTCTCCACTCTGGTGAGAATAGCTCACGTTTCCCAGAGACCCTTAGGATATACTGTCCTAGGACCATTCTACCCCTAAGCAACATGCTCTTGTGTCCTTGGGCACCCTTCAAAGGTCCCCCAAAGACCCAAGTAAGAAGTGAATCAACTAGGAAAAGAAGCAGCAGAATGTGAGGGTGTGATTCGTGATACAGAAGTCAAGTCCGCCACTGGAGGTTATAAAATTTGCTTGTGTTCATCATTTAAGTCCACCTCTGAAGGTTATACAGTCTGCTAGTGTCCATCCATTTGTCCCCAATGAACTTCAAACCCCAAGACTGGAGGTAGAGGGAAGGCTCCATAGCTGTGGACACCTAACTCCTCCAGACCCTTCTCAACCTAGACAATAGGAAGTGTGGCTAACTGCTCTGCCCCCCCCCCCCCCGAATCTGAGGACCTGGTCATACTGCTGGAGTTACTCACCCTTTATGAGCTAACCTTCCCATTTTGTTTGTTCTTGGGTGTGTGAGCCATATAATTTCTTCTTCCAAAGCTCTAACCATGAGGCTCGAGCCAATCATGCCACATAAAAAGAGCCTGCCACTCTCTCCCTCTCAGGGTTGGCAATGACTTTGGCTGCGAGCCAGTCTTGAGGTGACTCAGGCCTTCTCTTAGGGGGATTTTACTGTCTTCAACACTGACTCAAAGGAGGTGAGAGCAGAGTGGGGATCATAGACGCTGTACCGGGGTGACACGATCTAATTGCTGGCATGCCCAAATGGTAAGCAAATAGGAGCTATCCCAGCAGGCCCACCCTCTTTCCAAGCCTGCTGCAGACACAGCCCAGCTCATGCAGTCAGCATCTGTTTCTGTCTTCCTCACCTGCTGGGTGCTGGGACCAAACTCCTACTTTCTCTTGAAAGAGCCTAACCAGGCTTTTTAAATCAGTCAGTGGGCTAGAGTCTAAATCAGGCATTGGCACTATCCCCAAATCTCTAACGCTGGCCTTAATAGGCTCTTCTCAGGGGTTCATCCAGGGGAGGGTGTCCAGCAAAACTCCAGAATTACTGGGGAACTCTCTCTGTGTAGTTTTCTCTTTTCAGTTGAAATGACCATTCTGGGCCGCATGAAGGATCCAGGCAGTTTAGAAGCTGGTTACCATCAATCCTTTATTTTAGACATTATCTACCACCAGCTAAGTGTCAGGCATGATCAGGCTTTGAGGCTTGAGAGACAAGACACAGAGCTCCTCTTGTTGAACTTTCAGGAGGACTGTTGGGAACTGGTGAGACGGTAACAGTCGTGTGTGCAATGGGTGGCCAGTACTGGACGTTAGTGTGAGCACGGAGGCACCTCCACCCCAGCCCCAGACAGGGTCTCACATTACCAAAGGCTGTCCTGGAATTCTTTAGCATAGCCTAGGATGACCTTGAACTTCAGCTCTGGCTGCCTCCACCTCCCCAGTATGAGGATTACAGGTCTGTACCACCATGCCCAGGTCATATGGT